GCGTTCGTGGTCGGCCTGCTTTTGAGCAAGCTGGAGTCCTCCGAATGAGATGGACAACAACTATGCCCGCTTGTACACGACTTCAACAACGGCGGCGGCGGCGATTCCACAGCCTCGAAAATGAACCTCGATTGAAGCGAGCATCGGCGGCAAGGATGTCGACGTCGTTTGGTCCCCGTTTCCAAAGCGTCCTTGACTGCTGGTCCTCAGGTGGGGGAGAGCTTTTGAGCAAGCTGGAGTCCTCCGAATGAGATGCCTTGAAAATGAACGTTTGGAAGGAGAGCCCTTGATTGAAGCGAGCATCGGCGGCAAGGATGTCGACGTTGTTTGCTCCCAGTTTCCAAAGCGTCCTTGACTGCTGCTCGTCAGATGTGCGAGAGATCGTCGAGAGAAACGAGCGAGCGGGCAAGTTTGGCTCAACGCACGTCTCTACCAGGTGAGGAGAGTTTGGAGAGAGAGAGATGACCCATCCAGGGCGGCGCGCATTTCCGCCAATAGGTCTGCCTCTGCACGGCCCGGTACCGACCCAAATGATTTTGGTGCTCTCATCGCGAGGCCCATATGTCCTCCCGCACTCGTCCCTCCCGCGCCTATTTACACGAGTGCAAGAAGGAGAGAGAAAAGTCAGCCGTGTGACTTTTTCTTTGCTGATTGCGGCGGGGTGCGATGCGATTGGATGCCAGGAGGAAGGGGTGGGGGGGGGGGGGGGGGGGCGACCCCCTGTTGTGATCCGGGAGTTTCTAGCGGGGCCTAATGTTTTGTTGACGGAGCGTTAAGAATGCCTAATTAATAATCCCAGCAGTCTGACAGCGTGAGTGAGGCGAGAGCAAAGAGAAAAAAGGCTCATCAAAGAGCGTCGGCGGAGCCCCCAAAGCACTTTACGGCCTCGAAAGGCGAGGGGGGGCCGCGGGGAGTGCGTTCTTTCTTTGTGACGTCGGCAAACAACAACAACAACAGCTTCAATGCACACTTGATCCCACCCCCACCCCCCAAAAAAAAGCACACACGCACCACTATGACAGGTCCCTCGATAGAAAAAAAGGGCCGCCGCTGTCAATGTCGGGCCGCGCTTGACATTGAGCCAAAGCAGATGCAAAAGCGATCAGAAGACAAAGACGCGGAAGGGCCCTTCGTGTGAGACCACCCCCCCCCCCAAAAAAGATAAATCAAAACACACACGTACGGCTATGACAGGTCCCTTGAAAGTAATGCTCTTGTAAAAAAAAGGCCTGCCGCTGTCAATGTCGGGCCGCGCTTGACATTGAGCCAAAGCAGATGCAAAAGCAATCAGAAGACAAAGACGTGGAACGCTCTTGAACTTTGTCAACGTTGTGTCGCAGGGTGCTGAGGTGGGACCGGGAGCCGCACGTGGCCGCATTCCAAGCCCATTTCGACGTCGTCATCTGCGCAGACTGGTAGGTGCGCACCCCACTCACAAGTGCTCTTTTCTCTTGCATACGTGCACTCCAACGATGGTCGTCCGCCTCCATTTCACACTAAATTGCTTCCTTTTCATGCTCGGCGTCCCGGCAAATGGATGACTTGGGCAAATTGCAAATAATTGCGTCTGCGGGCGCAGGAAGACGCGGAAAGAGTCGGTCGGAGGGGCGGATGCCGGCACGAGGAGAAGAAGACGCAAATGGAGCGATGGGCGATCATGGCGACGTGGCCAATTAGCCGCCTCGTCTTTGAAACGCAGATCTGCTCTCGCCGAAGCTTCAAACGGAACGTGAAGTCACGTGCGCCCTCATCAGCTTTTCGCCAAACAAACAAATGATACGATTGCGCTCCGATGCAATCCGACGCCGTGTGACGGGACGCGATCGTACGGCCGATTCGAAAGGCCGAACGGCCCCCTCGCAAAGAAGGTACGCCGGCCGGCGTGCTTTCCGCCCGCGTGTAGTGGCAGCGTTGGCCAACGCTATGAAATTTCAATGTCGCGGTTCTTCCGGGCAACGCTCGGCTCCCGCAGAACCCCGCAAAGCTCCATCGGCGAGATTTGACATTGATATGCGATCGGGCGAGAAAGGAATCAATGACGCGTAAAACTACGGCGCCGAGGACGACGGTGCCGCTGTTCTCCCCGCTCGCTCCGTCCTCGAGCGCCGCTGCGCTAATTGCAGCTCGAGAAGAAAAATCCGATTTTTGACTATTCCGCCGACTGTCGTGTCGGCGGAAGAAGACTTTGAACCTGCCCGCTGCGCTAATTGCAGCGGCGGCGCTCGAAGAGTGACGGCTGACCGATGAACGGGGGCGTCATCGTGATGATCGCCTGGCCAAAGGTCAACACGTCGGGCCGGACGAGGTCGGACGAACTGGTCGACGCGACGGCCTTCGAGAAGACGCGCGTGCCCATTTTCGCCCGCTGTCTTTTGCGGGCCCGGTCCCGACCCTCCCGGCCGACGCTTCTCTTCGCTCCCTTTCGGATCAACTGATGATGTCACGCGTTTGAGAAGAAAAATCCGATTTTTGCCTTTGGTTTTTGAAGACGGAACAAAAGCCAGCGCCACCACTATTCTGACAACTGTCGTGTCGGCGGAAGAAGACTTTGAACCTGCCGCCCTCTCGGGCGGTTGGCGGGCCGGACGAGGTCGGACGAACTCGTCGACGCGACGGTTTTCGAGAAGACGCGCGTGTCCATTTTCGGCCGCTGTCTTTTGCGGGCCCGGTCCCGTCCCTCCCGGCCGACGCTTCTCTTCGCTCCCTTTCGGATCAACTGATGATGTCACTCGTTTCCTCCGGCCGGAGGGTGACAAAGATAGCCGGCCGGCCCGGCCGTGCACTTTGACCGGGACCGCCCGGTGTCTGCGTGTCCCGCTCGGGAGACAATAGGGTGGGTGGTCTTCAAGGGCAGGGCCGCTCCGTTTGAGAACGACACCTCATCGCCGTGCACGCTGCCCGCTTGTTGAGGCCATGTGACAAATCTCATTTTGCTTCAGTTATTGCTTCATCCCTCCGCAACACTATTTTTTTTTTTTGTAAACAGCGATAATGACTCATTTTGTCCGGTGGCCTCCCAGTGACACGCTGTCCTTCCCTTGCACTTTTGCGTGTGTGTGTCAGAGGCGGCGCCTCCGCCCAAGCGGCTCGCTTCCTTGTTGTTGTTCGCCGGCCGCTCTTCCTCTCCGAGTGGATCCGCGCGGCAAGCTAAAGCAAACACAAACTTCTCACCTTTCAAGGCGAATAAAGCTCAAGCCGCCGCCCCGTCCACCCCGGCAAGAATAATAAACTCGGCGTAACACCAGCGTGCGCACATCCTGCTTTCACGTAAGAGCCGCGGCCGAGCAGTATTTTGGAGGATTCGCGCCACATTGCTGTCCCGCCTGGAAACACGTGATGCACCTTTGGAGTAACGTTTCAACCAAAAGTATTGGACGGGGTTTTTTTACCCCCCACCCCCACCCCCCGCAGGTCCAGATTGCGGCAGCGTCCTGCAGTGGGATGTGCCGGATGATGCCAAATCTGTATTGTTGCATTTTAGTCACACTAATCAGACCTCATTTGGCTTGATGAGCGCATGGTTGGGTTTTTTTTTTTTTGCAGGGGGGGGAGGGGGGGTGGTCAGGAGGGTTGTGCCATTTGTTATTATTTTAAAAATATGTAGACATGATTTAAATTCGGTGTCTGTTATGACACACACACACACACACACACACGGACTTGATCTGCGCCGTTTCGGTGGCCGCTGCAATCGGTGTGCTTCAAGTGCAACGTTTCGTCCACAGATGGAGAAAGAACATTTCCATATACTTGAGATTTGACTTTCAGATAGTTGGCTCAGGTTTTCCATGTGTCCAGGAAGCATGAAAAAAAAAATGCCAGCATGCTTGGAGGATAAGAATGCACCTCGGAAAGAAATTCAACAAATATACACACACACACGCGCATTTTTTTTTTCGACTGTATGATGCACTCATCGAAGGACTCATTGAGTTTCGTTCCGTGACGAGACCTTTTTACTTTTTCCCCAAATGCCAACTACTTTCAGACCTCAATTCAAGTTTTGTAACTGACGCTGAACTTTTTTACAGTGTGGCACAGCTTTGATTGGCCAAAGAGCAAATCGGGTTTCTCGTCCTCTGTCTTTTCATGATTCACCTCCACACGCGCTTTTTTTGTGAATGTACGTGCACGTTTGGGGCCTCGTCATTCGTCGCGGTGCCTCGACACCGGGGCCGAGTCCAATGCGCACCTTGCTGGTGAACTCAGGCAACTTGCATAGATATTTTTAATTATTCTTGGCTTCCTTGTGTCATCCTGCCAGTGGAGTTCAAAATAAACACGCCGCTGCCTTATCAGCAGCTGCCATCACGACAATGCGCACTAACCTCGCTCTCTCTCTCTCTCTCTCTCTCTCTCTCTCTCTCTCCCTCTCCCAGTTTGTTTCTGGACCAATACCGAAGCAGCCTGGTCGGTGCCATCAGGAGATTACTGCGCCCCAACGTAAGTGTGCGCTCGCTCGCACGCGCTCGCGTCTGCTGTCTGCGCTCCTTCCTCTAAATCAGCTCTGCGCTCTCCTCCGTCATAATTAGGCCTCAGCACACATTAATAGCGCGACGGGCTTAATATCGTGTCACGCTTTCATGCTCAGGCGGCGCTCTGATCTGCGCGGCTCCGCCTCCCGGCCTCCCCTTCATGCTACCAGCCCGAGCGACTTCTCCCTTTTGGCCCCGCGATAAGACCGCACGCCGCGACTGCCAAAGCAGATGGGGGGGGCGCCGACGTGTTCTGGTGGCAATGAAAGCAAAAGGTCGCAAGAGATACGCTTGAGATTTCTCTTCATCTGAGGCGAGCGCCTCGCGTTTCAAGTACAGAGGCCGGGCCGGGCGGAGGCAAGTTTGAGAAAAGGAGATATTCAAATAAAAACGCAGCTGATGCAAGGAGAAGGAAGCCGGCGAGAGCTCGAAGGCGAGCCGCAGCCGGAAAACGACGCGCGAATGACACTTGAAAGTTGAAGACCGACTGGAAGAAAGATCACACGCAAAGACGTTTCCTTTCAAGCCTTCGAGTGACAGGAAGGCTTCAATTAGCTGAAAATGGTTTCGCCGTGCAAGCGCTCGCTCGTCTTTTGGAACGGTGAGCAAAAAGCGCGTGGATTTTAATCCCAGGCCACAGGCCACGTGCTTTTTGGGAGGTCACGCACAGGTGCAGGTGCGCCTCCCTCACGTCGAGACTCCAGTGCGAACGGCGCGGCACATTTCAAAGCCACGAGTGGAGCGGCTTTGCGACCGGTCGCGCGGCGGCGCGGTCCTCCCTCGCGCACATCCGTCGGCCTGCGTTCTTCTGCAAGATTCCCAACGGCGGGGGAGCCGTGCCCGATCGATGGCGGTCTCGGAAACAAAGCCCCAAAGCTTCGGTCCGCGTTTCGAAGCGTTTTTGTCACCGGCGCGCCATCATTGTCCTCCGTCTGCGCGCCTTGTCGCCATCTCCGGTATTCGGCAAAGAGATACACATCTCCCGCTTTAATCCTGCCAAGATCATTGGGCGGCTCAGATGATTTGAGTGGCGGGCGTCCGTCGGACAAAAGCTTGCTGCCACCGAGGCCCTGGGCCAAATATGGAATCGTTTGCTCAGCTCGTCAAACAAGTCCCACTTTGCCCTCGTCGGTTGTTTGTGACAAAAGTGCGCCGTGCGGGTGGCGAGATGGCTGTCGGGGTGTTTGATTTGTCATTGGCGGCTGGCTGAGGCTCACGCGCGGCGTTTGGATCAAAGAAAACGAGGCCCAAAAACCGAGCGGCCCCGCCGCTTCCCGCGCTTGGGTGCTAATTTGGCTCTTTGTGCGCGCTCGTCCCCGTGCTCCCTTTCATCGCCGCGATAACAACACCATCGGCGGGAAATCAAACTGCACGACGGAGGATTTCAAAGAAACTCGGAGGTCGCTGCTGCGCGCGCACGTCACTTGGCCACGCGCGCGCACCCCAACACTCTTTTCTTCCTCCCAAGCGCACGTCGGATTCCGCGGGCGGTTGCTGAGACGCTCTCGAGCACGTTTGCGCGCGGCTCGGATTTGCCGCGTTGAGGTCATGAAAAGGCCGCGCGGCTTTCCGACGGCGGTTGGAGCGACTGCGCGCGTGAACTTGCCGTTGACGCTCTTCTTCCCGTCCAGGGCGTGGCCTTGGCGCTGGCCCCGCAGCGAGGCGACACCATGGCGAGCTTCTGTCGGCTGGGCGGG